CTTAGGTGTATGTGGCTGGCGCCTTAGCCGCTTGAGCCACAGGCGCCGAGCCTAGCCTATCATTTTCATCTTAGAGGTTAGAAAGGAGAGAAATACCCACTACCCATGTCTTCACTGGAAGACTGGAGAAAAGACACAGGTCTTGTATATTTGTGTGCCTTTCTGTATGACCTAAGGCAGTTCAATGTCTATCAGTTGTTATTACCTAAGCTATTTCTATTTGGAAAGCGTAAGTACAGTAGATGATACAAACCTCTTAAATGCATGATTTCTACTCTGAAGAAGTTTATAGTCTGCTTGGGTACAGGAAAAGATGATTAATGCAAACCTCTTTAGAGATTCATTCAAACTAAGTAGCTGTTCAAATGGTAAATGACGTGGTTGATGAGAGAAATGCCTCTCTAGGCTAGGGCGATCAGAAAATGTCTGCTAATGGGAAAGAGGTCTATTGAGTGAGTGTTGAAGGATAGATCAGTTTTAGATAGGTTGAAGAAAAGAGAGGAAGGGATTTCAAATGCAGATGTTATGGTATACCAACGGGAAGGGAACATAGAAAATGTAGGTGAAGTAAAGAAGCTGCAAGAGAAGACTGGAGGGCCTCGAACACCAAGCTGAAGAATTGGGGCAGTGGGGAAATGCTAACGAATTCTAAGGGGGCAGTGCCTGCAGCTCAAAGGAATAGTGTCCCCTGGCCCCATATGCCGGAGGTGGCGGGTTCAAACCCAGCCCTGGTCCAAAAAAAAAAAAGAATTCTAAGGGATCAACATGATGAAAGGTTTTCTTAGGAAGATTCATCTGCTAGTATGCAATAAGGATTAGCAACAGGAAAAAAAAATGTAAGCAGGGAGACTAAGGGGGGAGGGTATTATCATTTGGAATGAAATTGATTAGACCTGAACCAGGAAATGCAAGGAATAAATGTAAGATATTGAAAAGAAAGTACTTGGCAGCCGATTGCATGTAAAACATAAGGGAGGGGAAGACAGAAGTGACTTTAGGGTATCAAACCAATAGTAGCTTTGAATGAAAGGACAAGTGATAGAAGATAATACAATGGCTAGCATTTCTTGACCCTATGTAGTTTACAGAGAGCTCTGTCACTTACTACATTTAACCATTAGAATAAACAGAGGCAAAAATCAAACCTAAGTGCTCTGATCCCAGACCCCCTGTAACTTACAGCACATAAAAGTCCTCTATTGGGGAGAATTTAACATAACTTTTAAAATGTTAAATTGTAGGCGAGGCTGGATGGCTCACTCTTGTAATCCTGGCACTCTGAAAGACTCCAGCGGGTAGATTGCCCAAGCTCAGGAGTTCGAGATCAGCCTGATCAAGAGCAAGGAGACCCCATCTCCAAAAACTAGCCAGGCATTGTGGTCCCAGCTATTTGGGAGGCTGAGGCAAGGGAATTGCTTTGAGCCCAAAAGTTTGAGGTTGCTGTGAGCTATGATGCAACAGCACTCTACCAAGGGTGACAAAGTGAAACTCTGTCTCAAATAAATAAGTAATTGTTGAATTGAAAGTGACAGAAAAACAGTTCAGAGGAAATATCCAGCAGGCAATTGGAGAACTAGGACCAGAGTTCAGGAGACAGATCACATCATATGCTATGGATTTGAGACACATCCCCATAAAGCTGATGATAGTTGAAACATGAAAGGAATGAGATCTGTAAGAAATTAAATTAGGCTCGGCGCCTATAGCTCAACCGGCTAAGGCGCCAGCCACGTACACCTAAGGTGGCGGGTTCGAATCCCCAGCCCGGACCCGCCAAAC